TATCACTACGGAAGTAGATTGCCCCATCTTCCTTCCGAGGAGTGGCTGGTGGGTTTGAACTGCCAGCCTTCTGCTTAGCAGTCAAGTGCCTTAGGCCCTATGCTACCAGAGCTATCACCTAATATATCTTAAAAGAAAGACACGAAAGGATGAAGTAGTTTTCAAGTAACTTAACTGCATACTAGGACAAACCTTAAGAATATTTGTAAGAATACAAAATATCTAGCACCCAGCAAGGTAAAATTCAGTGTCGGGCATCCAATTAAGAATTATGAGACACGCAAAGAAACAAAAAAAAATATGATCCATAATAAGAACATATATCAATCAAAACCAACACAGAACTGACATATTACATTTGTATTTTAATTACAATTAGATGTAAATTATAAGTAGATTACTTACGTTCAAAGAGTTAAATAGGGACATGCAAATATTTTTTAGAAGACTCAAAAGCAAAATCTAGAGATGAAAATACAATGCTTAAGATAGAAAATATACTTGATGTGCTTAATGACAGATTAAATAATGCAGAGGAAAAGATTAGAATTTGAAACAAAGTAAAAAAAAAAATTCAAAATTTAAAGCAGAGAGAAAATACAATGTCTTAAAAATGAGAAGAGCACAGTGAGCTGCAAGACAACTTCAGGAGGCCTAAAACACATGTAATTTGAGTCCACAAAAGACAGCAAGGGGAAGCAGAAAAATATCTGAAGATGTAATGACTGAAATTTTTTCAAATTTGATGAAAACTATACATCCACAGATGGAAGAATCTCAACTAACCCCAATAAAAGAAACAAAGAAAACGACACCAAGGCACATCATAATCAAATTTTCTCTAAACCAGTGATGAAAAGGAAATCTTTAAAGCAATGGGAGTAGGGGTGGGAGTGGGGGAGCCACAGCATAAAACAGAGAAACAAAGAAAGGATGAGTAGATTTCTTGACAGATAGAATGCAAGCTAGAAGATAGTACAGTAAAATTTTTAGAAGACTGAAGGAAAAAACCGCCAAACTAGAATTCTATACCCAGTGAAATTATCTTTCAGAAACAAAGGTGAAATAAAATGCATCACCAGTAAACTCATATGAGAAATGTAGGAAGATCTTTCAAAGCTGACCTTCAGATGAAAGGAAAATAATAGCAGATGGAAACGTGAATCTATACAAACAAACGAAGAGCACTAGAAAAATTAAGAGCACGGGTGAATATATAGGATTTTTTTTTCATTACTTGAATCTCCTTAAGATAACAGACTGTTCGAACAAAAAGAGTAACAATGTAGTATGAGGTTTATAACACATATAAAAATGAAATGTGTGACAACAATCACCTAAGAGTCAGAAGAGGAGAAATGGAAGTATAGTATTAAAAGTTTCTTATACTATACATAAGAAGTGGTTATCACAGCACTTACAGGTAGATTGTTAGAGGTTAGACATATATATTGCAACTGCTGAGGGACATCAATACTGACTCACAGCAAATCTAAAAGACAGAGTAGAACTGCCCCACAGGGCTTCCTATGCTGTACATCTTTATGGGAGCAGACCGCCAGGTTGTTTTCTACCATAGAGCAGCTGGCTTCAAACCACTTATCTTTTGGTTAGCAGCTGAGAGCTTAACTACTGCACCACCTGGGCTCCAAAATATTTATACTATAAACCTAAAAAGTCACTAAAATAACAAAGGGTTATAACTAATATATCAACAGAGAGGAGATAAAATGGAATAAGAAAAAATAATCAATCCAAAAGGAGGCAGAGAAAAGAAGGGCACCAAGAACAAACAGGACAAACAGAAAACAAATAGCAAGATCCCACATTTAAACCTAATCACACTGAAAGTAAAAGGTCTAAATACACAGATTAAAAGGCAGAGGCTATCAGACTTGTTAATAATAATATATTAAAAAAAAAAACAAAAAACTACCCAACTATACGCTGCCTACAAAATATAAAGACACAAATATTGAAAGTAAAAGGATGGTAACTCAAAAGATTAAACAGCAATCTCAGGGGGCAGTGAATTGATGTTTGTGGTAGTTAAAGTTGTATGTCAACTTGGCTGGGCCTGGTTGAGTGGCTGGGCAGCTGGTGGTAGTTATTCCTCATGACGAGACTGGCAATCAACTCCATGGTGGAATCTACAACAAGCAGCTGAGTAGCTGTTTTGGGTATGTGGTTTGCTTCCCCTATATAAGCAACAGCTTTGGGAATGGTCTTTAGCCTAGGGCATGCTTGGACCCTACATTTAGCCGTGTCATTGCTCAGCAGCCTGCTATGCTTTGCCGACCTTGGGACTTACGTTAATGGCCTGCCATGTGCTTTGGTAATATTGGGACTGTGTCTTTTTACTTGTCAACCTTGGGCTTGGCAGCCTCAGCAGCTGTCTGAGTGAAGAAAAGCCTCTAGCTTCAGTGGGCTGGAAGCTGGAAGCAGAGCTGAAGCCCAAAGCTGAGGGGCTTTCATCCAGCCTCTAGAGCTTAGCACTTTGAATTTGGAGTTAAAGCCTCCAAATTGTAAGATAAACTTCTGTTTGTTAAGGCCATCTCATTTGTGGTATATTCCTGTCAGAGTAGCACTAGGTAACTAAAACAGTGTTAATGAGGGAGGAACAGCACAAAACTGTTGAATTGGTGTTGTCTTTTCCTGTGTACATTTCCAACAATAACAACAAAATAATATAACTTAAGGAAAAAAAGTGTATGTACTCCCCAAAATTATTGCCTGAGATAATCTTCAAGCCTTAAGCCAAAAATATTTCCTGAAGTCTTCTTAAAACCAAAGCCAAACAATAGTTTACCTTAACTAGTAAAGAAGCCCTTGAGCATCATGCTCACATTTTAGGATCTATTTATATGGGATCAAACTGACAACAGCAACTCAAAGATTAGATAGGAATCTTAGGGGACAGTGACTTTCTATTAATGGGCGAGGAACAACTCAGAAATACAGGGTGAGAACGGCACACCTAGAATAATAAAATCAATGTCACTGACTTGTACATGTAGAAACTTGAATTGGTGTTATATTTTGCTGTGTATATTCTCAAAAAAAGAAATTACTGAAAAAAATTGAAGATGGTAAAAGATATACCATGCTTACACTTTCAAAAGAAAGCTGAGTGGGTATGTTATTAACAAAGCAGATTTCAGAGTAGATATTATTATCAGGGATAAAGAAGGGTCAATTCTTACATGCAGAACACCCAACCCAGGACAATGCACCCAACTACACTATGGAGATACACCCCTTGGAGCAATAGGCCATATGGCACCAGAGGGACAGAAGTCACATGGAGGGAAAGCTAGACAGATAGGAGTGCATATTTAAGAAGGGGGGGGGGGAGGAGCATGGCTGGGTGGGGCATACGGGGAAGGAAGTGGGTTATGCTTGGGGATGGTAATCAGGGCGTGAAATCAAATGTACGAAGTGTGGAATGTAAAACAAATTTTGCTCTGTAAATTTGCACCCAAAGCACAATTTAAAAAAAAAAAAGGTCAATTCATGAAGAGAAACTAACAATCCTAAAAATGTATACACTTAATAACAGAACTTCAAAACACATGCAAAAACTCCTGCAAGGAGAAACAGACATATCCACAATTAAGAGTCAGAGATTTCAATACCCTTCTCTCAGCAATCGCTAAAACAAAGGAAGAACTTATTATTAAATTACAGTAACCAAGACAAGGTAGTGGCATTAAGATAGACAATTTATCAATGGAGCAGAATAGAGATTCAGAAATAGACTCACACATATCTGGACAAACTGGTTTTCAATAAAGATATAAAGGCAATTCAATGGGAAAAGAATAAATCTTTTCAACAAGTGATGCCAGAACAACCACACAACCACATGTTGTCAATGTTGTAAGGTACCCTGGATTGGCCCGTGACTCACAGTGACCCCATTTGGACTTAGATTCACACCTCACATCAAATACAAAACTAACTCAAATTAATCTATAGATCATTGTCCTAAACGTAAAACCTCAAACTATAGAATTCCTAGCATAAAACAAAAGACAAAACTTTTCTGATGTCAGATTACACAAAGATCTCTTAGATATAATACCAAAAACACAATTCATAAATGAAAGAACTGATAAATTCAAGTTCATCAAAATTAAAAATTTCTACTCTTCAAAAAAAGACAAGCTACAGACTGGGAGAAAATCATGTTAGATGAGAGACTTGTAAAAAGACAGCAAACAACCCAATTTAAATTTTGAACAGGCAGTTGATGAAAGAAAATATAAAGATGGCAAGTAAACACATGAAAAGATTCTCAACACTATTAATCATTAGGTAAATGTAATTAAAACTACAATGAGATATGACAGCTAAAATTTAAAAGATGAGGGCAACCACTTTGGAAAATGCTTTGGCAATTCTGTTAAAAGTTAGAACATACTCCTATAGCATATAATTTGGCCATCTACTCCTAGGTATTTACCCAAGAAAAATGAAAGTATATGTCCATACAAATAATGGTACACAAATGCTCAAAGCAGCTTTATTTGTAATGAACAAAAACTAAAAAAAGGAAAAACAAACAAATGTTTATCAACAGCTGAATGGATAAACTGTGGTACACGCATGCAATGGAATACTACTCAGCAATATCAAGCAATTAACTATTAATACACAAAACTATTAATACAACACGGATGGAGCTCAAAATTAATTATATTGACTGAAAGAAGCCAAACAAAACAGAGTATGATTCCATTTACATAAAACTCTATGAAATGCAAACTAACATATAGTGACAAAAAGCAAATCAGTGGTTGTTTGAGTAAGGGCAGATGGGCCTGGGAGTTGAGATGAAGGGATTGATTACAAAAGGTCATAAGAAAATTTTGGCAGGTGAGGGATATACTCACGATTTTGATTGTGATGATGGTTTCATGGGTGTATACAGATGTCAAAACTCATCAAATTGTAACTTTAAATATGTGCAATTTACTGAATGCCAATTACACCTTAGTAAAAACCTTCATTTCCACAGATAAAATTCCTTTATTACCACTAGGAATCTGTCATGGGGTCAAGGAAATGGCTAAATGCAGTAGCAAGTAGGAAGGGAGGGAAAAGTGATAGGAAGTAACTTGTACATTAATGAAAACGCAATGTGAAATACAGAAGCCAAATCACTACTCAAGAAAAAAAGTCTAGCAAACACCTGCTTAAGCTTCCTGATTAGTTCTCGAAGTTGAGCTTCTACACGAAATGCAGAAAATAAACACCTCCAATGAATCCAATGTTTTTGGCACCATGAAGCTGGAGCTCCACTGCAAAACAAAAATAATAGGCTCTTTCAAAAATCTTCTATAAATAAAGGACAGTCTAATATTCTCATTTCTATTACAAATCTGGAAACCTTCAACTGTCACCTCCTTTACAAGACCTACCCAAGTACTGGGAAAGTACTTTCAGGAATTTGAAAAAGCAATCCAATTAATGCAAATGATTCTGACTGAATAAAAAAATAATCTGTAGATTGCTTTATTTTTATAAAATAGCCAATCATTTTCTCATGCAAGCTACCATATGGAAGCAAAATTCTGTAAGGTCATTTTCAGGAAAGGTTGTAGAAAGAAGAAATAACTAATACAATATGTGCCTATCAAATGACAGTCACCAGACAGAGACAATACTGCCAATATTCACAAAAATGCTTTGAAGTCATTATCATCCTCACTGAACCTTAGTGTCGGAAGTCACACAGTAAACAGATATTGGAACTATGCTTCAAACTGACACTTTCTATTATATAGGACTATTTCACATACCTTGATTTGCACTGTTCAAAGATGACAGCTAAAGTTGCAAAATCATTAAATCCTCCAGCTTTAGCTGCCAATTCTCGATGTCTCTGTTCTGCTTCCTTCTGGTACTCTGGATCAACTAAATGATAATTTGAGAGACACTTTATTTCTTCTTCACATTAAGTGTCTGCATTACTTTGTTTATTCAAGCTTATTAAAATCTTCCTCACCCTCTGGGATGAAATAAAGTGGAACTACATTAACTGTTGTTGTTATTAGGTGCTGTCCATTTGGTTTTTGACTCAGTGGCCCCATGTGACAGAGAGGAACTGCTCCACAGGACTATAATACACATACATACATACATACATATATACACACACACACACACACACGTGTGTGTGTATATGTATGTATTTTTGCTGGATGTGTTCAAACTGCTAACCTCTTGGTTAGCAGCCAAATTCTTCATTGTTGTACCAACAGGGTTCCTTTTGGAGGGCTTTAATTTTTCTCCAGCTCCTTTTCTTTTTTTAACCATACTTAGGAGATTTCATCAGAATAGCAATATTACTTCCACCAATCTGTTTAGTTTAAGTAATATTCAGAATTCATTTTTTTTTCTTCTAAGAGTAACCTATGTTTACTGTAAAAAAAGGTGCACTGGTACAAGAGGATATAATGTAAAAGATACCACTGTGTCTCAATGCCCATAAACCAATTCTCAAGGCTAACCACCTGTTCTTTAGTGTGTCCTTTCAGTTATTTTTCCATGTAGGTACAAGCACATATATAATGTATTTTTACATATATAGGATATATGTTTTATAACTTGCTTTATTCATTTAATAACAGTTCCTTGTAAGCATATATACAATTACTCATTCTCAAAATAGCTATATAGTATTCCCCAGAGTATTTAACCAATCCCTCTTTATATGACTTTAACATGACCTCTATGTATACGGAACTGACTTATTTATAACAAAGTTTTCCTTTTTAATCTTTATACTAATGTATAACACAAAGAAAACTGCACAAATCATTAAACATATGGCTCAATGAATGGTCACTGATATATAAAAGTACCCAACATCCAGATCAACAAACAGAATATTACCAGCATCCCGGAAGCCCCCTTTAGCCCTCCTTCCAGTAAATGCTCATTCCCCTCCACAAGGGTAGACATACCCTGGTACCAGTGCTGCTGCTAAGTCTAGCTGTGCTAGGTATACCAAGGGAATAGGAATTATAGTAAAATGTAGTACATACAATGGAGGAAGGTGCCCCAGGCAGTGGTTTAAAAAAAGGGGGGGGGGCGGGGGACTTTGAAAGATGAACCTGAGTAAAATGCTATGTAGGGAACTTGGAGAACCAGAGAGTACATCAGTCCTGAGTGGGGTGGGAGGAGGTGGTATCCCAGGGTTTCTGATCCCTGATCAGCACTTATATAGACTATATTGTGAATGTGTAAATAAATAGTCCCTGATAATAGGAGGAAAGCAATCTGATTAAAGAAAACATTCATGAAGGTGTAAGTCTTCCATCCCAGGCTTTAAGTAGCTTCCAACTATTGACTAGCTAAGAAATGAAGGAAACACCTACATACAAAAGGAGAAAATATGTTTTCTCTCAGGCCATCTAAGTGGCCCTACTAAGGTGAAGATATGATTGACAATACCTACCTCTTGGACTCCTCAGGCACACTCATTTTTAACATAAAACATCTAATTTCAAGCACCTAAATACCATTCCCCAGAAGGTATTATCATGCCAAAGGTCAAACTGCATCAGACTCCACTATCAACCCCAACACTAGGAGAAAAAACCTACTTATCAACTATGGGAGGGATCTTTAGAATCTCTAAATTATGGTGATCCTGGCTACAGAGAAGTACAGCCCCAGCTGCTTGGAACCCCAGGCTGTGAAGCCTCAGAGAAGCTTCCTGCTCATGGTCCAGTTCTGCATTTCCCTGCCTCACGCTGACCCTAGAAACCTTCACTTTGGCTGTAATCCCTACTGTAGTAACTTGTATAAGTTGCTTACCACCTTTTATTAAGATGTCAAAATTTATTTGCAATAAATTTTAGTGGGTTATACTTTTAAACACAGCTCACATTTTGAGAAGATAAACTCTGCACAGTCAGTTTTGGATTTCTGTTGTTCAGAGTGGCTCCCTGCTCACATTTTAAAAAGTTTACAGAACACATTGCTTCCTTTTCACATTGCTAGCTCATCATACTCGCTCACTCTCTTTCTTCATCATTGTCAGAGTTAGAAAGACGGGGCATATTCTTGTCCCTTTTCCTTACCGCTTCCCTCAAAAAGTAATTAGTTAAAATTGAAACTGGCATAAGTCCCACAACAAATTCATAATATGGACAGAAAAGTCTAAAGCCATATTACACACAGCTCCTACAGTCTCAGCAAGCTTATCCTCTGAATAAATGATAGTGTGATTATCTATCTTTCATTATTTTCCCAGTAGACTTGCCATTTTCTTTACCGTCTTTCCCTAGATGAGATTTGATAATCAGTTTTATTTTATGAAAATAGGTAGATGCTACTCGGGCGAAATATATAAATATGAAGCTGAAGCAGCAAAACAGGGTGGATCAGATGAACTTCTTCCTTTGAAAAGATAATTCAGTACTTTTCTACACAGCAATCAATCAGAAAATGAAACTGTTACACAGAAAAGGTATTGATAATAAGGTCCTTAGAGCTGAAGGGGTGGGGAGGCTGTAAGTGTACATAAAGTAGCCTTTGTTTCAAAAAATATCACAGTTACAGCATTTAAAATCAAAACTGTAGGACCAACTCAATTGTTTTTATTTTAAATTTGCTTTATTTTAAAGCAATGCTGTTTAACAGTTAAAAAAAACACAAAACAAAACAATTTAACAGTCTTCACTTTGTAGTCTGACTTCTAAACCAACACCTCTACTAGCAGACATGTATGTAATTTACTACAAGGGGATAGATTACAATGAATGTTGAAAAAAATCACCGTTTTGATGTTTATAAGGAAAAGAGGCCTGGATCAGTATCTAAAGGAAATAAACTGAATCCTGAGTATAACAAAACAGAAGAAATGGCCACATTTTTATAGTTATATTTTCATTGTATAGAATCAGAAATAATGTACTGATAAGTTCCTTAGCTACCTTAGTGCTTTGGGGGCCTGGTTATGTTTCATATCCATTAACATCACTGACATCGAGTGTTTGACAAAGGTAAGACTTAATACAACATTTCTCAAAACAAAGCACAGAAGGCAAGATAAACCGTAGTCCTACTGATGGTCTCAATATTCCAAAGAATTAGACATATCTGTGTCCATATATAAGGAGCACTGGTGGCACAGTGCCTGAGGTATTTGACTACTGACCAGAAGGTCAAACCCAACAGCTGCTCCACAGAAGGAAAATGGGGAAATCTATTTTTGTAAAGATTTACCACCTCTGAAACCCAGTGTGGGTCACTATTGAGTTGTAATCGGCTCAATGGTAGCGGGTGCCGTTCCTATATATCTAGGGCCAACTTTTACCCTAGCAAAGGGAAGTCTCTCTTTCCTTGAGTGTCTACAAATATCGCTTATTTTCATACAATGTTTTGCTAAAGTGAAAAAAATACCTCAAGGCCCTGATAAAAAGACAAGAAACATTTAGTTAAAACCTAAGGCCTGAACAATAAAAAAAGGCTAAAAAATTGAGAATCAACCTTGCAACCACAGTGAGAGTGTCCTAAACAAAAATTTAAAAACTAGTTCCCTGGACTTTTATTTCCAGCTATGGAGAAGGCTGTATTATTTTCCTTTTCTCAAATTCTTTCAAAGACATGTGATGGTTTAAAAGACAAAATTATAATATTGTACTGTGGACTTTATAATGTATGTAAATATGATATACATGACAACAATAGCACAAGTGATAGGGATAAATGGAACTAAACTGTTGCAAAGTTTCTCGATGGCAGTGAGTTTGGTCTTTGGTTTAGTAAAACGTGGTTAAAGATGTATGATGTACATCTAGAGCAAGAATATGAGATTAAGAGATAACAGCAAAAGGCCAAGAGTTCAATAAAATCTCTATCAAAATTTCAGACTTTTTTTGAGGAAACTGATGCGCTGATTCTAAAATTTATATGAATAGCAAAGAATCTAGAATAATCACAACAATATTCAAAAAGAAACATAAAGTTGAAAGACTTACACTCTGATTTCAAAATGTATCATAGAGCTATGTAATCAAGAGAGAGTGTTGTTGGCATAAGGACAGACAAAAAGATCAATGGAATAAAGTCTAGAAACAGAGCCACCAATATAGTGTATTGACTTTCAACAAAGGTGGCAAAGCAATTCAATTGGGAAAAGTAACTCTTTTCTACAAAGTGCTGGGGAAAGTAGCTATTCATAGAAAAAAAGCAACTTGGACCTCTATTTCACACCATATACAAACACTGATTCAAGGCAGATAATCCTAAACATAAAAAAAGACAGAAACTGTAAAACTTCTGTAAGAAAATATCTTCAAATATGAAGTCTCCTAAGATAGAGAGTATCTCTATCATCTGGGGGCAGGAAAAGATGTCAGGCTGCAGAAAGCAATAAATAACCGATACATAGACGGCATATAACAACAACAACAACAACATAGAGCATAACCAAAAATTCAAAACTTCTGTGGTGGTTAAGTTTGTGCATCAATTTGGCTGGGCCTGGTTGAGTGGCTGGGCAGCTGAATGTAGTGAGATTGGTAATTAATTCCATGGTGGAATCTATTGGAGCAGCTGAGTATCTGTTATGGGTATGTGACCTGCTTCCCATATATAAGAAGCAGCTTTGGGAATGGTCTCTAGCTTATGGCACACTTGAACCCTGCATGTAGCTGTGTCGTTGTTGAGCAGCCTGCCATGCTCTGCTGACCCTGGGACCTATAATGGGCTTGAATTAATGACCTGCTGTGTGGTTTGGTAACATTAGGACTGTGCCTTATTACTTGTCAACCTTACGCTTATCAGCCTCAGCAGCCAGCAGCTGAGTGAATAAAAACTTTCAGCTTCAGTGGGCCGGGAACAGGAGGCAGAGTTGAAGCCCAAGGTTGAGGGGCTTTCACCCAGCCCCTAGAGCCCGGCAC